GGTGCCGGTTCAATTTCTTTTATGGTGTTTGGCTTATCCATATTTCTTTCCTTCATTTGGCAATTTCTTCATCTATGTTTTCCTGGAAAACTTTCTATTTCATTAGGCTTTCAAACTGATTACTCAAAATATCCATAGAATTCTCTTGTTTTAAATTTTTCTCTCTGTAGTGATACTCGCTTTTCTTTCTAAGTTGTTTTATTGTATCTTTTCTATTTTCTTCATCTTTCTTAAAAAATGATTATTTCACTCTTTACAGAGAACAAGCTCATGGTTTTATTAGTTATCTCTACTAGGGTTATTTTTCCTACTTATTAATATCCATTTATCACATTAATATCTCCTTTCCAATTTCTTTGGGAGTATTTCATTGAACTTTGGTAGAATGTGATTAAACTAAAGCTTAGTTAATTTGTTTTCACTCTTCCTCCTTTCCTAATAAATGCACTTTAGGTTATAGGTTTTCATCTGGGTATTATTTTGGCCCATCCCTTAGATTTTTGTTATATAGTACTATCATTTTCCTCTTCATTCTAAAGAGTTCGCAATATCCCTTGTTATGTTGTCCTTAACCCAAGAGTTATTCAAGTGTGTACAGTTTAATGTCCAAGCATTTGGAACATTTTACTGTCTGCCTGTTGTTGTTTTCCATTTTCATTTTGATGTAGTCTGAGAATATGGCTTATACGATATCAGTTTGGGAGCTTTATAATTTCTTTTATGGCCTACTTCGTGGAGAATTTTTATGAGTGTTCTATGTATGTTTGGAAAATTTCATTCTCTGGTTAAAAATAAAAAGAAAATGTAGATACTGTATATGATATACCAAGAAAATGATTTGTGTTATCCCAGTATAGTGTTATACCTTCCTTTCTTCTTATTTGATCTGTTTCTGAGAGATGTGTTAGTTTGTTACTGTCATTGTGGGTTCCTCAAAATGTCCCTGTTCTGTTAGTTTTTCCTGTATTTCAGAACTATTTTGTGAGATAAATGTTAGAAGTGTTGTCCGCTCTTGGTAGCTGCATCCTTTTAAAATATGGAATATCTCTGTTAATATTCTTTGCTTTGGTATCTGTATTATCTAATTCTATCAACACACCTGCTTTCGTCTTGATATTTCCTTGCAAACGTTTTTAAAATTACTGTCTTTTTCAGTTAAATTTTTACTGGGAAACTTTCATACAAATACTAAAGAAGAGAGAACATGATAATAAACACCATGTACCCATCACCCTGCATCAACATTTATCAACATTCTGTTAGTCTTGTTTCATGCATCTACTCCTCCTCAGTGGAGTTTTTAAAGCTAATATTTCACCCACAAATGCTTCCATATGAATCTCTAAAAGATAAATCTGTTTTTTAACATAACCACATTACCAAAAAAATTAACAGTAATTCTTAGGCCTCTGATAAGAATGTGTGTTCATTAATGGACTTCCACATATTTTTCCTCAGACCAGGCTTTGGGAGAAGAAAGAGAACTTGGTATAAGCAGAGTCCAACCCTCTAACTGGTCTTATTTTTAAGCTGAATCCCAGAGGGGAACATAACATAACATGAAGGTGCCCAGCATGCCCACATCAGAGCCTAGGCCCAGTTCCCTCCAAACACCTTCCCCACCTGCTGGGACTGAAGCTACACTTTCAGTAGGACATAGAACCTCCTACCATTGTCAGGTAGAACTTCCTGGAAGAGGCAATGTTTAAGCTGGGTTTTGAGAATGTTCAGGAGTTCACGAGGTAAGGGGATTGTGTTTTATAACTCCCACTCACAGTCCCGCAAAAACGGCGGGAGGGGAGTGTTAGCTGCTCCAGAATTTCCATATAGGAGAAGCTAAAGGAAGGGTCACAGACTGGACTTGCTTCATTTACATAGTAAAGACATTGTTATTACTTACATTTTAATTTACAAATAAATAAAAAAAGCAGTTTTCCTTAGGAGCTTTTAGTCACACGTTGGCTATATTAAAGACCGTTATTATTTTTATTATTGCTGCCTACTATTGTTTTACTTGAGGTAGAGTGGATACTAATGGAGATTAGTGGGGATTCTAGTCTCCATCCCCTTCACCAGCCCTTCGGAAGCTGACACATTCCTCTGGGGGTATCTCTCAGGAGATGACTGGCCTATCCCAACTTCTACCCAATTTCTCCGGGTGCTTTTTCCTATTAAAGACTGTATACCCTTCCTGCAGCAGACTGCCCATTTTGACATTTCTCTGTTTTGCCGGGTGGTTTCGCTCAGGAACGGAGTCCCATCCTGACCTCTCCACCCTTTCCCTGAGTGGTTTTCTCCAAAGAGCGGATTGTGCCATCTTGACTTCTCCCCTCATCCCCCACTGGTTTCTCCCAGCAGGTAATTGCTCTTCGCACCGTGCTGTATCCAGAGGGGCAATTTATGTTTTCTAAATAGAACATAGAGCGCCGGACCCCATCTCCAATACCTTCCCCCCCGCCCCGGATATCTACCCAGACAAGGGCCAAACTCCAGCATCTATGTGACAGTCCCTGCCTCGCTCCATGAAAACCGGCAGGAGGCCTATTCCTCCGCTATACGGAATGGACACGCCTCCAAGATGGCGGCCCGCATGCACAGGCACCATTGGGTGCGGTCATGTTCTCAGCCCGATAGCGCCGTACGGAAACTGCGCAATAACAATAACGTAGCTGCGCCATGTTGACTGTTGGCTGAATGTGGCTTCCAAGGTAAATCAGAGCATGCGCAATACCCAGGCCGTCGAAGGAGGTGCTAGAGATCTGACCGGAAGCGGAAGTGGTCTGCGAAGGCTTTTTTTTTTTTTTTTTTGGCCGCTGATGTCAGGAGCGTCTCCTCGTTTCGATCCCGAGAGGTCTCCGAGGTGATTTTTGTTGGTCGCGATTACGGATTCTGTGGGACCAGTGACGGAGCGGTTGTCTGTGGGGTTAGTGATAGTGGTTTTGGGGTTCAGTGATGGAGGAGTCTGTGGCCTCCGTTGATGGGTATCTGTGAGGTCAGTGATAGGGGTCTCTCTGGGCAATGGTAGGGCTCTTTGAGATGGGTGATTGGGGTTTGTGGGCTCAGTGATGGGAGCCTGTGGCGTCAGCTGTGGGGATCTATAGGGTCTGTGATGAGTTTGCTTTCTAAACATTCACAAGCTTAGGTGTGTAGCATTTTCTTTATTGTTCAAATCTTAGTGTTTGTTTTAATTTCAGTTATTTTTTCTTTGATCCATGAGATATTTAGAAGTACGTTCTCTCTCAAATAATGCCTCTGGGTAATGCTCGAGTTTAAAAATTGCTTTATGGCCTAGTTCATGGTCAGTTTTCATAAATGTCACATCCATTACATAAAAACAATGTGTGTTCTCTATTAATTGTATTGTATTGTTTCATATTATATTATATTAAACAGATTATTTTGTCTGCTTAATTACATAGAAAGGTAAACTCACACTGGAAAGGCGTTTTGTCCACTTGTCCTTCCTTTGTCAGTTTATGCTTTATATATTTGAAACTATTATTAGGAACAGTTATGTGTATTTTTAATAATAGATATGACTAAATAACTCAAAAGATATTATAGCAATTCAAGCTCCCACCCACAATTTATAAAAGAGCTCATTTTCCCAAATGCTTTCCAGCACTAGATGTTTTTAAGTTTTTACAGTTCTGAGGGAAAGTTTATCTGATTGCTCTAATGCATTTTCCTGTTAGTAAAGTCGGCATCATTTTGGTTAATTGCCATTTAAATGTCCTTTTCTGTGAATTTTTATATCTTTTGTCCAGTTTTTTTCTGGGCTTGTTTTTTCTTATTGATTGCTGGATTCTTTTTTTTTTTTTTTTTTTTAACGTTAGGGATCGCCTATCATCACATATTGAAAATTTTTTGTATTTATCTTCATTTTGATTTTTAAGCTGTATTTTAACCTGTAATTAGGAAATATCAAATCAGAAATATTTGTTTTTTCTTTTATAGTTTCTGGGTTTTCTCTCGTGTAATAGGATCCCTCCTACCCCACCAACCCCACCACAATGTTATACAAACATATACTCCTAAAATTTGTTTTAATATTCTTTAGAGTTTTTAAAATACATATACTTAAAATGTTTAGTTCTGCTGGAATTCAGTCTAATGTACAGTGTGTAATGGGATCTAGTGTGTTTTGTTCCAGGTGGATGGCCAGTTATGTCAGTGCCATTTACGCAATGAATGTCTTATGCACACTTAAGTGAATGTCACTTTTGTCATATATATAAATCAGTATTGTCTAGTCTATTGTTTTATTTTGATTACATTGTTTTTTATATTAAGTTTTAATAGCTAATAACACATGGTAATTATTAATAGTTATTACCGGCTTCTTGTGTGCCAAGGGGGTGTTGAGTACTTTATAAGCATTATCTCATTTAATTTTCATAACTCTATGAGGTAGGCACTTTCATTCTCATTTTTGAAACTAAAACTGAAATAACTTCCTTTGCTGAAAGGTAGCGGAGCTACAATTCAAATCTTCAGTAATGTTACTCTGTATCTCATGGTTTTTCTCATATTTTACCATGACTTATACCTATCACAGGTTTTGTTAAACTTTGTATTTTCCACAGCACTGGTTCTCAAAATGTGGGTTCTGGACCAGCAGCATTAGCTCACCTGGGCACGAATTAGAAATGCAAATTCTTGGGCCCTGCTATGGTCTGAATGTTTGTGTCCTCCCAAATTCATATGTTGAAATCCTAACCCCCAAAAGTATGGTATTAGAAGGTGGGGCCTTTGGGAGATGATTAGGTCATGAGGGTGGAACCCTCAGGAATCTGATTGGTGCTCTTATAAAAGAGATCCCACAGAGCTCCCTAGCACCTTTCACCATGTGAAGATACAGCGAGAAGGCACTGACTATGAACCAGGAAGAGGGCCCTCACCAAAATCTGATTATGCTGGTCCCTTGATCTTGAACTTTCCAGCATCCAGAAAGGTGAGCAATAAATTTCTGTTGTTCATGAGCTACCCAGTCTGTGGCATTTTGTTAGAGCAGCCCAAAGAGATTAAGACAGGCCCTACCCAAGACCTAGTGAATCAGAAGTTGTGGCAGTGAGGCTGAGAATTTTTAACTGTAGTTTAACAAACCCTCTAGGTGATTTGAATGCACACCCAAGTTTGAGAACCATTGCTCTGTGGTGACTAGCTCAAGGAACTACACCTTGATGTTCCCAGGAAATGTTTATGTGGTGGATGTTGGATGACTGACCAGGCGGACATTGTCTTTCCAGGTTTCTTGGTGTCTCTGGGGAGCCCCTGGGCCAGGTCTTCCTCCAGACTCCAGCCCACCTCTCCCCAACAGCTCTGCTGGAGTTCACAGATGTCCACCAAGCTTTAGGCTCCTGAGAGAATAAAGGTTGAGAGCCGGCTTGAGAGCCAGCATGACCATGCCAGCTAATTGGACTTCTCCCCAGACATCCCTGGTCCTGGCTCCAGAAAAACATGGCATCTCCTGTGAGGTGAGGAGGGGGAGTGCCAGGGGGTGGGAATTCGTCCTGGGAATAGATATCTCTGATCTGTCACCAGAGCCTCAGGGCAAAGTCAGATGGGCCACAAGAAGCAGCCAGACTCTCCTACTGCCTCTGAAACATCTTGATCTTTCTGCCAAGATTGAGCAACACATGGGTAACGTCTCCACATCTAGAGGCCAACTGTATGATAGTGGAGAGGAAAACTCTTCTTTAGTTTGTCCTCATGCTGTGTTCATCTTTTGGCTGAGGATAAAATTCCTGTTTAGAAATCACTTTTGTGCAGAATTTTGAAAGTATTTCTCTATTTCTTCCTAAACTGCTTCCCCCAAGACAAATATTTGCTCTGTTCTCTTTCTGAAATTTCTGTTTTTCAGATGCTGGTTCTCCATTTTTTTCCTCTACTATTTTCTATTTCTTTGCTACTCTCCTTTTTGGTCAAGTTTGTGAGCTTTGTCTTCCAGCCCTTCTGTTGAGTTTCTCTTTGCTGTTTTCAATATTTTAATTCAGAGTTTTAAGTCAAAGTTTTAATTTTCAAAAACTCTAGTTTGCTTTATAAATATTGTTTTATTAGCATCCTGTTCTTATTTCATGGATGTAATCTTATTTCTTATCTCTGAAGATATTGTGATAGTTTAATTTTTTGAATAGGTAATATATACACTTAGTTCAGAAATTAAAGAAATGTGGGAAGGAATTCAGGGAAAAATACAAATAGTGAAAGAAATTCAGGGGAAGGACAGGACTGTGGTTCGCCCACCTCTGTTCCCAGCTTGCCCAAGTTGCCCCCATACAAATGACCAATCTTATTAGTTTTCTTTGACTGCCTAGTTTGTTTATTCAAGTAAAAACAATTATAAAATTTTTTTTTCTTTGCATATCACAAAAAGTGGCATACTAGACACATTTTTGTGTATTGCTTTTTTAACATTTGGTAAAATACAATACATATTATGAACAATGCAGCAGTGGACATTCTTGTCATGTTTTCTTTTTCTATTGTATATTTAAGAAGTAGTGGAATTTCAGTTCAGGCTTTTAGTTAAAGGCAGTGAATCTTAGCTGAATTTTAGTGAACCTCCCCTTCTGTTGCTGTTGGGCAATTGTGTGATTGGGTATGTTAATAATTTTTATCTAGAAGATAGGAAGAATGGAGTGAGATGAAAGCTGTAATTGGTAAAGAAGCAGCAGTCACTTGATTAGCCAGAATAAGGGGATGTTTGATCACTTCTGTGGTTTGAACAATGTTCTTATTTTTGTTTGCTCTCAGATATGATTACAACGTGGTCTTGGTTTTGTCTTGCATCATCATGATCAGAGAGTGGTCTTGTTTGATGTTGGTGATGTGTGTTTTTTGTGTGACGGGAGAACACCATGCCGTAGCTGATCCTGCCTGGCCAGATCCTGGCAACACTGAAGACTAACTGATAGTGCCAGGCCAACTCTCAGCTATCAGGGGCTGCTTTTCTCCTTGTTTAAAAATAAAGGAATGGGGCCGGCCCCGTGGCTTAGTGGTTAAGTGCGGGCGCTCCGCTACTGGCGGCCTGGGTTCGGATCCCGGGCGCGCACCGACGCACCACTTCTCTGGCCATGCTGAGGCCGCGTCCCACATACAGCAACTAGAAGGATGTGCAGCTATGACATACAACCATCTACTGGGGCTTTGGGAGGAAAAATAAATAGATAAAATCTTAAAAATAAATAAATTAAAAAAAAGGAATGGAAAAATTGAGAAACAAAAACTAAAAGAAACCTAGGGCTACAATTCTAGGAACAGATCAAAAGGAATTTAAGATGAAAAACATCCAAAGGGAACAAGAGGGATTTAAAACTTATAAAACTTTAAATATACCAAGAATTATAAAAATTGTCAATATTTATTTAACTCATATCTTTGAAATATATTAAGGAAAAATGAACAGAAATCATTAAATATATCATTGACCATTTTATCAACTATTCTCAAAAACTTACTGATCAAAGCAGACAAAAAATATAAACCTTTGCTATAGTATTGATTCTGTTCTCTGGCCGAGAGCATTAAATTAGAAATAGAAAGCAGAAGGCTTTTGCACAACATTGTTAGTGGACTTAATGCCACTGAACTGACGTTTAAAAATGGCTAAAAGGGTAAATTTTATGTCGTATATTTTACTGCAATTTAAAAAAAAAAAAATTTTTTTTTTAAAGTAAAAGGCTAGCAGAAAGAAACCCCCACATCCGAAAAAGCTTAAAATTTTTTTCTACATAAATATTCTTTAAAGGGAAATCATAAAGGATCTTCTTATAAAATTCTTTGAGTTGAATTTAAATAAAGTACTACATTTTAAAGTTGTGTGGTGAAGCTAAACTGTAGATATAGGGAAAAAATATAGATTTAAATGCTTTTTTAAGGAATCCTGGAAGTTTGGACAAAGAAAAAAAGACCTGAGGTATGAGTTACGCTTTCAGCTGAAGTTAGAAAAAGAACTCAATAAATACAAAATAACAATAAGGACTAAAAAAAGATAAGGAAGAAATCAGTTACATAGAGAACAAAAATAATTCCTAAAGATGTTTGAGAGAAGCACAAGTTGCTTCTATGTGGTGATGATCAAGAAAAAGGAGTAAAGATGCACATAAAGTATGTAACAAAACAGTTAATGCTATACCAAAGACTAAAACAATTATGAATGGATATTATATAAAATCATATACAAAAACATGAAAACCTAAACAAAAGGGATCAAATTTTACAAAAAATAAATGTCAAAATTGGTAAAAACAAATGGCTCAAAAGTCCTTGAAGAAATTAAAATGTTGATCATTGCTTCCAACACAGTCAGAAATAGTGGAAAAGGTCATGTGGTTTTATAGTTGATCTTTATGCCAAGCTTTGGGTAAAAGATGATGTCTAAAATTATTCCCAGCCTTGTTTTTGATGTTTATTTTGTTTACAATGTTAATCTTGATACTCAAACCAGTCAAAGACAGTAAAGGAATTGGAAATTATGCACATAGATTCAGAAGTCACTGCATTCAAGAGTAGATGAAAACAGTAGCCAAATAGCATTTATCACAGGGACACATTTGAAGCAGACACTATTTTTTCATTCAGTAATCCTCTTCAAAGTCAAAGATGTCAAAATTAAAATAGTAAAATATCTTGAAGTAATAAAAATACTATATATCAGAAGGTATGATATACAGCAAAACAGTGCTCAAAAATAATTTAGAAAAATAATTTATCTCATGCAAATTTAAAAATCTGGATGAAAGGATGGATTTCTAGGAACATATTAAATTTCCCACCAAATCTTTAATTACTATTTACCACATTTTCACTTAGGTTAAGATTTTTATTTAAAAAATTCTACTTTTAATAAAAAGAGGATTGCAGCTTTGGAGAGATTTATTTGCATTGATTTTATTCTGCTTTTGGAATATTAACTTTTTGTATGTGTGCGCAAATTTTCTGTTTAATATTTCTGAATGTTACATAGACACTCGACAAGAATGTTTCCAGGATACGGAATTTGTTATCAGTAAGATATCTTATATAGTTATGAGGTTTTTACAGTGTTGCTTACTTTTTTCACTTTATCTTATGAAGCTGAGAGCTATTATTTAAAGTTTGCTACCACAAATGTATTTCTATCTATATTTACCTGTAGTCTCTGTTTATAAATTTTGAGGCTATGTAATTTGGTGCAGTGACAGTAATGAGATCTGGAATTCGTTTTAGATTGTGTTTTTGTCATATTTAATATTTTTTCCCTAGAATTCAGCTCTCGCTGCTATCAGGATGGAGGTTCCTATTTCCTTTCTCTTTGCATTTCCAGATGGGCCTTTGCTCATCTTTTTCCCATCATCCTTTGGAGTCCTTGTGTGTTTCTTCTGTGCAGCAGTGGAAAGATGCATTTTATGTTACACATCTGATGTGGATGCTTCTGTTATGTATCTTTCACTATATACTCTGTATTTTTGCTTTGTTTCTGTGTCCTTTCTGGCAGTTTGGAAGGTTGGGATTTTTTTGTTTGTTTGTTTGGTTCGTTTAGAGTCACCTTTATAACATTAGCTTGTTGAACTAAATCTTCTAATCTCTTGTTTTAGACAGTAGCTATTAAATTTGTACTGTGAATAAACAATAAGAGTTCTATACTGCCACTTCAAAGATTCTTTTGTTTGTTGGATGTCTTTATTGAACTATTTTTCTTTTTTTTCTTTTTTCCTTTAAAAATAGAAAAAAATTTTTCCTTATTTCCATTTCATGTTGCTGTCTTGTCTTAATCTGCTCTTTACCACTTTTTGTGTTTTTCATGGGATGTTTTCGTTGCTTTCAGAGAGACCTTCATTTCTGTATTGCTTTGTCTTTCTTTTTCACTTCTTTACTGAGTTCTGCCCATTTGGTTTTCAAAAATTTAACCATTTCCCAGCCTGTTTTTCTGTTATTTCTTCCGTAGACTCTTAATATACCTATTTATTTTAAGTAGTTAATTATTTTAGTGAATTCCTTGAATTCATGCTGAATGTGTTTTCTTCTGTTGTGTGGCAATTTATTTCTAGTATGTTTCTTTCATTCTTTTTGCTTATAGTATCTTTGTACATCAGCAGATGTTTATTATTATCTTTGAGTGAGGAGATTTTTTTCCTGGACAAACTATTTATAAGAAGCTCATTTGGTAAGGAGTCGAAGATACTAATATGACATCATCTTGATCCCCTGTTAAATTCTATTTTTTTTTTTTTAATTTTTTGTTTATTGCAGTAACATTGGTTTATAACATTGTAAAAACTTCAGGTGTACATCATTATATTTCTATTTCTGCATAGATTACATCATGTTCACCACCAAAATACTAATTACAACCCATCACCACACACATGTACCAAATTATCCCTTTATCCCCTGTTAAATTCTTGATGACATTGGGTTTGGGGGCCGGGGGTTTGGTGTGTGTAGGGTATGAATATGCAAGTGTATGAAAAAGAAAAATTAAAGTACATATATTCTTTTCAAGTATATATAGGGAACATTTTCAAAGAAAGGACAATGTTCTAAGCGTCATAAACAGAGTCAACAAATCACAAAGAAGCAAATTATAATCTCTGAACACAATTAAATGAAGAAATAAAAAAGATAGCTTTCAAGCATGATAATTTTAGATGTTAAAAACCACAAGTATCTTTGATACTTTCAGTGTCCTTGTCCTTCCTGCATGCTCATTCCCTCCCTTGAATTCAGTGACCTGCTCTGTACACACAGCTCCTGAATCTTCATCTCCATAGTAGCTCTCTATCCAGCTGTCTAGTGAATATCCTTGTATATGTCTTATCACCTTAAATCTCAAGATGTACAAAATTTAAGTTATTATTTCTTGTCTTCTTCCCCCAGCCTCCTCCTCTAGTCCTTAAATCCATCTGTGGCACCAGGAACTATAGTTACACAAAACTGATAACTGAGAATTATTTGAGTCCCTTTTTCTCACCTTCATACTCGATATCAATTTTATCTCGTTACTTAATAAAGAATATCAACCTGACTAGCCTGACTGCAGCCTTGCTATGGGTCAGTAAGAAATGCGTATCCTCTCACAGGAATGCTCCATGGGCCTTGTGACTGATCTTCCAATCTTGCCCATTCCAGAATATTTTATGTTTTGAAAATACTCTTTGTTCTGCTTGCTTTGAGTTTATTTTCTTCTTTATCTAGTTTCTTGGGGTAGGAATTTAGATATTGATTTGAGAACTTTCTCCTTTCCTTTTTTTTAATTTATATATAATGGACATATAACATTATATTAGTTTCAGGTGTACAACATGATTCAATATTTGTATATATTGTGAAATGATCACCACAATGTTTAATTAACATCTGTCACTACATATAGTTAACAAATTTTTTTCTTGTGATGAAAACTTTTAAGATTTACTCTTACCAACTTTCAAATATACAATACAATAGTATTAACTATGGTCACCATGCTGTACATTCCATCTTCATGACTGACTTATTTTATAACTTGCAAGTGTATACCTTTTGTCCATCTTCCCTCATTTTGCCCACCACCCACCCCTCACCTCTGGCAACCACCAATCTGTTCTCTGTATCTATGACTTCAGTTGTTTTTTTTTTAGATTCCACGTATAAGTGAGATCATATGGTATTTGTCCTTCTCTGTCTGACTTATTTCACTTAGCATAATGCCCTCAAGGTCCATCCATGCTGTTGTAAATGGCAAGATTTGCTTTTTTTTTAATGGCTGAATAATATTCCATTGTTTAAATATACCACATCTTCTTTATCCATTCATCCATTGATGGACACTTAGCTTGCTTCCCTGTCTTGGCTATTGTGAATAATGCTGCAGTGAACATGAGAGTGAAGATGTCTTTTTGAGTTAGTGTTTTTGTTTCCTTTGGATAAATACCCAGAAGTGGAATTGCTGGATCATATGATAGTTCTATTTTTAATTCTTTAAGGAACCTCCCTACTGTTTTCCATAGTGGTTGCACCAATTTACATTCTCACCAAGAGTGCACAATAGCCCTTTTCTCCACATCTTCACCAGCACTTTTCATTTCTTACATATAAATTTTTTGATAATAGCTATTCTAACAAGTGTAAGGTGATATCTCGTTGTGGTTTTGATTTGCATTTCCCTCGTGGTTAATGATGTTGAGCATCTTTTCATGTACCTCTTGGCGATCTGTATGTCTTCTTTAGAAAAATGTCTGTTCACATCCTCTGCCCATTTTTTAGTCAGATCGTTTGTTTCCCTTTTTCTAATTTAAGCAGTTCTCTAAATTTCCCTTTCGGCATTGCTTTATCTGCATCCCACAGATTTTGATATGTTATTATTTTCACTTTCTTTTAGTTCTTTGTATTTTCTAAATTTCTTTTGAGAATTCCTCTTTGACATAGGTTATTTAGAAGTGTGTTGTTTAATTTCCAAATATTTTGTGACTTTCCATATAGCTTTTGTTATTATTTTCTAATATGATTCCTTTGGAGATTTTTGTGTTGTCTTTCTGTTGTTGATTTTTAGTTTGATTACATTATGGTCAGAGAACGTGCTTTGTATTATTTCAATTCTTTTAAATTTATTGAAGTTTGTTTTACAGCCTAGGATATGGCCTGTCTTGGTCATTGTTCTGTGGGTGCTTGAAAAGAATGTGTATTCTATTGCTGTTGTTGGTTGGAGTATTCTATAAATATTGATTAGATCCTGTTGTTTGTTCTTCTATATCATTGATAATTTCCTGTCTATTATTTCTATAAATTGCTGAGTATGGGGTGTTCAAGTCCCTATAAACCTTTTTTTTAAATGTTTATGATTTCAAGTGGAAATAGCTATTCTTTCAATTATGCATTTCCAGATTAGATTTTTTTTATATGGAGGATTATGTTTTTTTAAAAACATTTTATTATGAAAAAAATCTAAGTGTATACAAAAGTAAAGAGAATAGTATAAGGAGCCCTGTATCTGTTGTACCTATTGCCCTGCTTTATTAGTGATCAACATTCTGCCATTCTTATTTCATCTAAAACCAGCCTCCCTCCTCCAACTGCTGGATCTTTTTTTTTTTTGTGAGGGAGATCAGCCCTGAGCTAACATCCATGCCAATACTCCTCTTTTTGCTGAGGAAGACCAGCCCTGAGCTAACATCTATTGCCAATCCTCCTCCATTTTTTTTTTTCCCCTTTTTCTCCCCAAAGCCCCAGTAAATAGTTGTATGTCATAGATGCACATCCTTCTAGTTGCTGTATGTGGGACGCAGCCTCAGCATGGCTGGACAAGCAGTGCGTCGGTGCGCGCCCAGGATCCGAACCCCAGGCCGCCAGGATTGGAGCGGAAGCACTTAACCGCTAAGCCATTGAATTTCTCTACACATGCCATAAATGTTTTTTTAATGTTGGTTTGTTTTAATTAAGAGCCAAACAAGGTCCACGAGTTGCATTTGGTTAGTATGACTCTTAAATCTCTCTTAATAAAGAAAAGATTCTCCTCCATATTTTTTTTGTTGTAATTTATTTTTTGAAGAAACAGGTCATTTTCTGCCTTCTGGATTTAGCTGACTGATATCGTTCAATATGTTCCTCTGTCCTTCACATTACGTATGAATGATTTGTTAGATCTGGAGGCTTAATGAGATTCAGGTTAGATTTTTCTTTTTCTTTGGCAAGACTACTTAATGGGTGATATAATGAAATTAATTACTATATCATGTCAGGAGGCACATGATATCTGGTTATCTCTCTTTTTGTGATGTTAAAATTGATCAGTGGATGCAGATATTATTAGTTGATCCATCCATTGTAAACTTCTCTTCAGCCTTTCACCTGAAACAGTTGAGCAACCATTAATGATTATTGTCTAAATCCATTTTTCATTAGGAGTTACAAAATGATGATATTCTGATTCTATCCTAACTTCTTCATTTATTAGCTAGAATCATTCTATAAGGAACTTTTCCTCATCATTTATTTGGTTATTCTACAATGTAGATTTTATAGAAAAAAATTTTTAAATCCAGACTTATTCTGTGATCAAACTATTTTTCCCAAAACCGCCTTCCTGACGTGTCATGCAGACTTCAGTCCATTTACATAGAGCTATTTGCTGTTCCCCACACTCATCATGTGTTTTCTTATCTCCACACTTTTGCTTTTGTCTTTTCTGGGAGACGACCTCCCGCTCCTCCCCATTCTGTATTATACTTCTCATCTTCCAACTTAAATTCCTCAACTAATATAAATTTACTTCCCCATGTACAATATACTTTTTCCTTTTTTGGGCAATCAGTGTGTTCCACATAGAGATATACTTTTTGACACTTTAGTGACTATGTGTCTTCTTTTTCTCTTCTTTCAAAACTTAGGTCTTGGGGCTAGCCCAATGGCGCAAGTGGTTAGGTGCGCGCACTCCACTTCAGCGGCCCAGGGTTCACCGGTTTGGATCCCGGGCGTGCACCGATGCACTGCTTATCAAGCCATGCTGTGGTGGCATCCCATATAAAGTAGAGGAAGATGGGCGTGGATGTTAGCTCAGGGCCAATCTTCCTCAGCAAAAGAAAAAGAGGAGGATTGGCATCAGATGTTAGCTCAGAGCTGATCTTCCTCACAAAAAAAAAAAAAAAAACTTAGGTCTTATTTATTTTCCAAGTCTTCTAAGTTGCTAGAAGATTAGAAACATAAATAATTATTTCTCTGTTCCCAGGACTAGCGTAATGGCTGGTCCTAAATTGCTCAGAAACTGCATTGCAGGTTGTTCATCCAGTTGCCGGAAGACTACAGGAGAGCCTATTTCAGTCTGCAGGTTTGAAAAACAAATAATTTATTGACTATAGTATAGAAGAAATAGCAGAAGTTCTTTATTGGATTTCTTTCTTCTACAAAATATTATGTAAAACTAGGTATTTAATATGCACCCTATATGAAATATAATTTTTTAAAAGTTCCTGGATTACACAGGTGTATGCATTTGTCAAAACTTCATATGGTACACTGAGGATTTCTATGTTTCATTGTATGTAAATTTTACTTTAAAAAAAGGTAAACAGGTGTTATACTCTAGTTAATGGTTTGCATTCTGAAGTATTTAGGAGGAAGTGTACTGGCATCTACAGTTTACTTTAAAATGCACAAAAATGTAAGATGTCTTGATGGATAGATAAAAAAGGATGGGTAAATGTGTGGTAAAACAACTAGAGTAAAATGTTAGTGATAGATTCTAAGTGTTGGGTATATAGGTTTTCACTCTACAACTCTTTTAAATTTTCTGTGTGTTTGAAAACTTTCATAATAACATGCTAGGAAAATGGCGAGTTGAGTTTTTAAAAAGAGGAGGTAAATTAACAAAATCCACGTTCCATATTCCTATAGTCTCTCCATCCCCCCAAAGCTAACCATTCACATTGAGCAGGAATGTGCTCTTACAGGGATCAGTGTCCTTCAAGGACGTGGCTGTGGATTTCAGCAGAGAGGAGTGGCAGCATCTAGACCTTGCTCAGAGAAACCTGTACCGAGATGTGATGCTGGAGACTTACAGCCACCTGCTCTCAGTAGGTAAGCATAGTCGCCTGGGTGTCTGAGAGAAGGCCCCACTGAGAGTGTTTCCATTCTCAGTTGCTGAATGCTGTGAGACATCTGATATATGTGATGTTTTTCCTTGATTTGTCCAGGATTCTTTATCCCTTTTGGACACTCTGAATATTCCACTGTTCCCAGAGATATATGGTTACTTTCCTGAAGAACAAAGCCTCATTGAACAACAAGACTTTATTGTTTGGGCTCAGAAACACGATTGGTTGGACCCAGACCTTTTCTCATTTCTCATGAACAGGGTATCAAGTTCCTGACCCAGAGGTTTTCATGTTGGAGCAAGGAAAGGAGCCATGGGCACTGCAGGGTGAGAGCCCACATCAGAGCTGTCCGGGTGAGTGAGTGTGACCCAGACTGATGGGAGACAGGGGAGTAGATCTCAGCTATCTTGAGAAAAACTGGCACCTTTGAAATGCTATTAAGATGACTTTTCTGGAAGGTTCTAAATTTTTTGTATTGCTTGAGGACCGTTGACGTTGGCTTCTCAGATAATTAAATGCCTTCCACACAAATGCCTTTGGCATTTCTGCCTTCTTCCTGGGCTTTTTGGAGTGTGTATATCACGTGCCAATCTGCCTTATTAAAGACTTTTTTTTCTTGGTTATGCTCCTTTTCCCTAACATTCTTTTTCTTTCTGCCTTCCCCATTGTCTGAGATTCTTTCTTTATACGTTCAGGCATTCATGGACCTGCTTTCTTTCAAAGTTCCTATATGTCACACATTCCCACTCCTGCTAGTCCTCTTTCATTTCTTTCTCACTGTGAGATGCTTCAGAACTTTATCCAACCAGGCTCTCTTCTGATTTTCTCCATAGATACTGACATAAGATTTCTCAGTTCCCCGTTCCCCATGCCTTTCATCTAACTGATGACTTAGGGGGTCACTGTCACTTAACCTGTAGGAGTACTTTTCTGACTTTTCACTTGAGTGACTTCACATTGACTGGAGTCTCTTTGCCTGCTTGGCTGATTTTTATAATTGCTTATTTCTGTACTTCACTTTAGAAGGTTTGGGTTTAATCATGGGCCTCATTCGGGACACACTATTATCATCAATCTAAGGATTATGTATTATTTTATTTTTTAATTTATTCCCTTTTCTTTGTTTCTCCACACCCATCTCACTTCCCACCGTAGGCAATTGTTTTATATGATGGAAACATTTTTTAATTCATGCATGTTCTTTTAAAATTTAAAGTGACTTGGGGTATGTATTATTAGTTTATATAAATGTTATTGTGCTATGTATCTTGTTCTTTGCCTTACTTTTTCCACTTCTGCCCATGGTGCGATATGTTCATAAAGTTTATTTCCTCTAACTGCTGCATTGTATTCCAGAATGTTTCCTATCACCACTATCACCAAGCCTCCTGAGTCAATGATTCACCCTCATCCTTTTCTTTGTGTTCGACCTGAATAAGCCATATGGCCCTCCCCTCTAGCCTCTGCTAGCTGCTATTTGAGCTAAAATCATCTCTTCCTTTTCCTTTAAGAAGGAGAGTTTGGGTTTCAAACCTCACAACAGAGAATTTCTGAAAAACCTTTCTATATTGAGCGGGAAGGTGATGCTACAAGTGATGTTTTGTTGTATTTCATTCTAGAAGAATTGTGGCAGATTGGTGACCAGATAGAGAGCTATCAGCGAAGAGAAAACAAATCTTTAAAGGATGTTCCTTTCATCAAGAAAATATTGACTACAGAGAGGGATTATGAATATAAGCACATTAGAAAAATAATTCATGTGAGCCGAAACATTTCTTCCCTAAAAAGACCCCATCAATGTGACTCATTTGGAATTGCTTTGAGGCAAAATTTAGATTTACACAGTCATAATAGAAACAGGGGATCAAAGAACATTAATAAGATTGCTGAATATGGTAAAATTTCTTCCTGTATTGACCGTGAGTGTACCCCAGCAGGAGAGAAATTATGGGACCATAATCAATGTGGAAAAATTCTCAGCTATAAACAAGCACCCTCTCAACATCAGAAAATTCATACTGGGGAGAAATCTTATGCATATGCTGAATTTGGAAAGATCTTCACCCAGAAGTCACAACTCAAGGTACATCTGAAAGTTCATACAGGAGAAAAACTCTATGTATGTATTGACTGTGGGAAGGCTTTTGTACAGAAACCAGAATTCATTACACATCAGAAAACTCACACTAGAGAGAAGCCCTTTAAGTGCAGTGAATGTGGAAAAGCCTTTTTCCAAGTATCTTCTCTTTTCAGACATCAGAGAATTCATACTGGAGAAAAACTCTATGAATGCAGTGAATGTGGGAAAGGCTTCTCTTATAACTCAGATCTCAGTATACATCAGAAAATTCATACTGGAGAGAGACACCATGAATGCAGTGATTGTGGCAAAGCATTCACGCAAAAGTCCACACTCAAGATGCACCAGAAAATTCATACAGGTGAGAGATCGTATATATGTATTGAATGTGGACAGGCCTTCATCCAGAAGACACACTTGATTGCACACCGAAGAATTCATACTGGAGAAAAACCATATGAATGCAATAACTGTGGGAAGTCCTTCATTTCCAAGTCACAACTCCAGGTACATCAACGAATTCACACAAGAATGAAACCCTTTATATGCACTGAATATGGGAAAGTCTTCAATGGCAGTTCCAGTCTCATTACACATAAGAAAGTTCATATTAGAGAGAAATCTTCCATATGTACTGAATGTGGCAAGGCCTTTACCTACAGGTCAGAGTTGATTATACATCAGAGAATTCACACTGGAGAAAAACCTTATGAATGCAGTGATTGTGGAAAAGCCTTTACCCAGAAGTCAGCACTCACGGTGCATCAGAGAATTCATACAGGAGAAAAATCATATGTATGCCTAAAATGTGGGCTAGCCTTCATCCAGAAGGCACACTTGATTGCACATCAAATAATTCATACGGGAGAGAAACCTTATAAATGTGGTCACTGTGGGAAATCCTTTACTTCCAAGTCACAACTCCATGTGCATAAACGAATTCACACAGGAGAGAAACCCTATATGTGCAGTAAATGTGGGAAGGCATTCACCAACAGGTCAAATCTCATTACACATCAGAAAACTCATACAGGAGAGAAATCATATATATGTCCTAAATGTGGCAAGGCCTTCACGCAAAGGTCAGACTTGATTACACATCAGAGAATTCATACTGGAGAGAAACCTTATGAATGCAGTACCTGTGGAAAAGCCTTCACCCAGAAGTCACATCTCAATATACACCAGAAAATTCACACTGGAGAGAGACAGTATGAATGCCATGAATGTGGGAAAGCTTTCAACCAGAAATCAATACTCATTGTGCATCAGAAAATTCATACAGGAGAGAAACCTTATGTATGCACTGAGTGTGGAAGAGCCTTCATCCGGAAGTCAAACTTCATTACTCATCAGAGAATTCATACTGGAGAAAAACCTTATGAATGCAGTGATTGTGGGAAATCCTTCACCTCCAAATCTCAGCTCCTGGTGCATCAGCCAATTCACACAGGAGAAAAACCGTATGTGTGTGCTGTGTGTGGGAAAGCCTTTAGTGGCAGGTCAAATCTCAGTAAACACCAGAAAACTCATACTGGAGAAAAGCCCTATATCTGTTCTGAATGTGGGAAGACCTTCAGACAGAAGTCAGAATTGATTATACATCATAGAATTCATACTGGAGAGAAACCTTATGAATGCAGTGACTGTGGCAAATCTTTCACTAAGAAATCACAGCTCCAGGTGCATCAGCGGATTCACACAGGAGAGAAGCCTTATGTGTGTGCTGAGTGTGGGAAGGCCTTCACCGACAGGTCAAATTTGAATAAACACCAGACAACACACACTGGAGACAAACCCTACAAGTGTGTAGTCTGTGGGAAAGGCTTCGTTCAGAAATCAGTGCTCAATGTGCATCAGAGTATTCATGCTTGAGAGAAACAGAATGAGAAAACCTCAGTGAGAGCAGGTCTGATTGTACATTACTGAATTCATGCAGCAGAAAAATATACATATTATTGCAAGTAGAAGTGCTGCATCAGAACGTTGCTCACTACAGAAGAGGACCTCTGAGAGGGCCCTGAATGAGGGATGCTCTTCCCACATTGTCACCAGCCTTATTAAACCTTGGGGCATTCATACTGAGAAGGAACTTTGTCAGTTTGATACATTAGAAGCCTTGTCATGAAAAATATGATGGAACACTTAACAAATTCTGCATAGGAAAGATTATAATCGTTAAATCATGTTAATGATAATCCTGTTTACTGTGGAACAGGTAAAGTGCCAACAAGTTGAATGGTAGAACAACATAATATATACGATAGTGACAAACCCTAAGTTCTGTGAGGTATTTGTTGCAGCACACATTGTTTAACAGAATTTGGGGTATTTTTCCATTTTTCTGTTGACTGTAACGTGGTTGTGTGTATCCAATCCCCCAGTAATTATTTCTATCAAGAAAGAGATACCACAATAAAAAAAAGTTCTTTAAGTATATAGACACAAATCTCAGAGTATATTTTGACTCCCCATTATCCTCTCACACCATGACTTGTAACCCCCCTTATTAGGCACCAGTAGAGTGCCTTTGACCCTCATGAGTCTCCAGCACATTGCCTTCTGAACCCCATAATTGCATATGACTGCCCATTAGTGCTAAATGCCATGTTTGCTGACTGCCATCTCTCTCAGACAGTATTTGCTGACCCTCATTTAGTCCTCAGCATGGTGTCTTATGAACTCCCGCTACCCTCAGGAAAGCTTCTGAAGTAAGAATTTTCAGGTCACCTTGGTCAACTCTTCACCCCAGTCTCCCTTTTGCTGTCACAGTTCTTCCAGCTCCTTTGCCTTCTTTAATGACCTGACCTTCATAATAATAACAAATCAATAATTCATTAAAACAAACCCCAGCATACCTTCACTGTTTTCTGTGTCCATCTTCATGCCATGCACTCCAGAAGGACCTTCTCCCCTATGTGTCTCAAACACATCAGTTTACGTCCTGACTCAAGGCCTTTGCATTTGCAATGCCCTTTTCAAAGAACACAGTTACTTATTATATCTGCGTGGTTCACTCCATGTCTTTCTTCCAATGGTACCTCTTCACAGAGGCCTTCTTTGCCCTTCACTACCTGCGTGGTTTAAAATTCCAACCTCCCACCCTTCTTCCTTTATCCTTCTCCGTAGCACTTACTGCCATGTTGCCCTGTATGTTTCACTTATTTGTCTATGGCTCCCACACTAGAATATTTTCCCCTGTTTTGTTCACCATTGTGAGCCGAGACCCACGGCTGACATACAACAGGTGCCATTCTATAAATGCATGTTGTGGAGTGTTGACCCTGCTCATCCCATGACTTCCCTTTGATCCTTTCTGTATTGCAGCATTAGAAGCTCTGATGGGGAGAACCAACTTTCCTAAAACACATCAGGCTTTTTCACCTCCAGTCTTTACCTGAGCTGTGCCTCCTTCCTGGCCCTAAAGCTGTAACATCATTGTAAACCTTTGGGCCTGATACCAACCTGTTTAAAGAAGGAAGAACTGAGGCACAGGAAATCCCTCGTAGATGCTTGGTGTTCCAGGATTCCCTGCCATGATTCTGAAGTGCTACAGTCAGCTTCAAAGTGATTGCAAAAGAGCCCGCTTACTCTGCCCGAGCATACACCACCCCAGTCACACCTTGATGGGGCCTTGCCAATCCCAGAATCTGACCTACAGACCTGCTCATCATGCCCTGACAGGTATGCCCAGAGCTAATAGTATGGAGGGGCTGAGAGCAGACGGGGTGGACCTTCCTTAGAAGTTAGGTGTCTGACTCAAGACTGGGGCAGCAACGACCTCACAAATGCAGGCAGAGGGTCTGATTGAATGCTTAGCTGCTGGTTGGCCAAACTGGAACTAGCAGAATGGTTCCTTCAGGTCAGTCCATTGGCAGCACTGAGTAGGAAATAGTTGGGTTGTGCAGAGATGCTCTCCCTTTGTGAATGGCAGCATGGAGATTGAGGATGAGGGCAGAACCTTGTCAAGGGGGCAGGGCTGGGGATTCCACTTTAACGCCCAAATTGGGCAGTGCTTAGTGACACATCCCATTACCCCACCTTGGACCTATGTCTAATCCATCATTAGCTCCCCTTCATCTCACCCCTTCACAGTATCTGATGATTCACTGTACACTCTTCCCTATCTTAGCACAGTGTCTGGTGATCCACTGTTACCCCCTTTTACCTCATCTGGCACTGCATCTGAGGCTTCACTCAATGTCTTGTGACCCACCATTATCCCCCAACATAGGACAATATTTGCCGACCCCCCAGGAGAGTGTCTGGAGATCTCCCCATTACCTTCTTCTTACCCCACCCCAGCACAATGTCTGGACACCCTCCATATCCCCTTTTACCTTATTCTAATATTATGTTTGTCACCCCTCATTAATTCCAGGAAGTACATCTGGAGAGCTGCTCATTACCTCTTCCACAGTTACCTCCAGCATAATATCTGTTACTTCATCCCACTTGTGACAAAGTCTGGTAACCTCCATGCTTCATATTTATTCCCCCTTTCACTTAAGTAGTGATTGATGACCACTTATTACAATCCTCAGAGTAGCGAACCATAGTATATATTCCCCACCCAACCCAACTATTAATATTATCTCCTGATACTTTCATTACACCTCTATCAGGATGGCTTGTGTCCCCCCTCCATTACTTGTCCATCACAATAATGATGACTAATTATCTTCCATTATCCCACCTAGCAGTGTCTGTAACCATTCCCAACACAGCATGTGGTGATGCCCCCAATACCCTCTCTGAACTCTGGTGTATACCATTAACCTGCTTCCCTCCCCCAAAGGAAGGGCAATGACTGCCAATGCACCATAAACTCCACATTACCATCTACATTTTGGAGCCTTCACTACCCTCCTTTCTGTAGGACCGCCATTAACAACCAGCACAATGTCTGTTGATGCCCATTACCCACTAACACCGTATCTGTGACCCCTCCATTAAATCCTGGTGGTATCTGCTGTTTCCCTATTGGCTCCCACCACCACAATGTCTGCCGATTCTCCATTGCCCACACTGCTTCATGATACCCCTCAGTGCGGCTACTGCAAGTTTCCCGTTATTGCTTCTCCTCTGTTTGCATGGACAGGAACCCTGGGGCATGGGGGAGGGATGAGGACGAGGTCCTAGCCTCATAGACCCCCTCCAGAGAATTGTTCATCTGGAGTGGGCTGGGGAGCATCTGGGGAGACCCAAGAGACCACATGCTGAGCCTCCCATTTACTATACAAGAGTGATGCAAGCAGAATAGTGCAAGCTGTGGACGTGGATTCAAATCCTAGTGCCAACACTGATCTGCCGACCGACTCTGGGCCAACCTCCTCTGGGCCTTAATTGCTTCACTTGTTAAATGGAATTACGGAGGATGAAGTGACTTAATATGGGTCACGTGAAGGGAGCAGAGCTGGTGGAGACCAAAGAGAGTGTCCTGTTGTTAATAATATTACTAGTTATAAGTTGACACAAGCATCTGACCAACCTCTGCATGGCTGTCCCCAAACCTCACGAGAGGGAAACATGTTATTTTATTGTAAATTACTCTCAATTATTTTTCTTTTATATTTATTATTATAGTACTGAGATATTTTTAAAGTCAGATTTATTGAGGTATAATTTATATAAAGTAATATTCACCCTTTGTAGTGTACAGTTCTGAGAGTTTCGACAAAGGTATACAATCATGTAATCAACACCCCAATCAAGATAGAGAACAGTTCCTTCACTCCCCTAAATTGGTTCCTATTCCTTTTTATTCAATCCCTCTCGCCACTCCCAGCCCCTCACAATCACTGATCTGATCTGTTTCCTGTCTCTATAGTTTTGCCTTTTCCACAATGTCATATAAATGTGGGAATATATAGCTCCTTTTGAATCTGACTTCTTTCATTTCATGTGATGTTTTTGAGATTCATCCATGCAGTTAAATGAGATACACATGGAAAATAAGCTGATGAAAAGACATTCAACATCATTAGTCATCAGGAAAATGTAAATTAAAACCATGATGAGATACCACTGTGCACCTATTAAATGGCTAAAAAAATAAAAAATAAAAACGTGGTACCAAAAGTTGGCAAAGATGCAGAGCAATGGAAACTTTCATGTGTTGTCAAGGTAAGATGGTATATCCACTCTGGACAAAAGTTTAGCAAGTTCTTTTAAAGTTAACCATATACTTATCCTATGACCCAGCAATCCCACTCCTAGGTATTTACCCTAGAGAAATGAAAAATTATGTATGTACTCAAATGTTCACAGAAACTGTATTCGTAATTGCCAAAATATTGGAAACAACCTAGTGGGTGAATAATTAAACAAATTGTAGTACATCTATACAATGGAATACTACTCAGCCATAAAAAGGCTGATTTATGACACCATAAAAAAGAATGATTTGACACAAGCTACAACATGGATGAGTCTCAAAGTATTATGTTTTACCATGTGATAATTTGAATTATATTTTATTAAAGATTATTAGATTATAAATATCTATAAATAATTAGATTTGTATATTAGCTATAATTTTATATGTGCATATCATTATATACTATATTGATATTATGTATTTATAATATATAATACATTGTAATATTTATTGTATATTCCTTATTACAATAAAATGTTTCTATTTTATATGATAAAAATATGTATGATTATATATTGGCTTACGTAATTTTTATATTTGTATATCGAACTTTCACATAACATTTCTGTTATTTGCATTTTTACATATTTACATTTAATGTTTGTGGTGTAAAGTTATAACTATAATAAAAGGGGTCATAGGGACAGCCTGCAGTTGTAGCTGGTCATCGTTTTTATTATTTGTCAACAAGCCCAATTCTGGCTGTTCTTAATGTGAAGGAAGCTGGCTCCACTTTGGGCCTTTGCCTGGCTATGTTCTCTGAGAGTACTCTGCTTCCCCAGTGCTCGTGCACCTTGCTGTTCTTTCCTTTCTTTGGAGAGCCCACCAGCATACAGCATGGTATCTGAAGTAACACACTTCTTGAGGTCACTTCCTATTTTGTTCTGTCTTTGTGTTGCAAGTACCACTGTCTGACCCAATATTAAATGTTTCTTTTTTTTGGTTTATCATTCCCCCCTCCCCACGGGACCATCAACCTCATGATGCCTGGACTTTGTCTTGTTTCTGCTGTGTCCAAGGTACAGCATGGCGCCAGCACAAAGTAGACACTCACTACAAGTTTGTTAAATGGATGAGTGAATGATGGCAATAGCGTCGAGGTTTACCGAGTGCCCCACACAGAATGAGCCAAATGTGTGGGAGTGGGGTGGGTAAGGGAGGGTGGGTTGGTTACAGGTCCTCTAATTCAAGATTTAGAGCCTCTCCCCATGCCCCAGCACACCAAGCTCTAACCCTTTCTCGCCCGACCACCCCAT